GCAACCTTCACTGTTAATGGAGAAAGTGTCACATGGTGCCATTTTCTGTTCCCTTCGTGATCTTTGTTACAGCAGCAATTTATCAGAACTCTGGACAGAGAGACCTTTTTGTCCTGTGAGCAGCATGGCACTGCTATTTCCACATTCCAAAAATACCTTGTGACTAGATAATTCTGTTTTCCTCTCAGATAGCACAAGCACACAGACTTGAAAGCTGACATGCTCACTGCCGGTTAGGAGGTGCTGAATACACACAATGCCACAACGCTGGCGTGAATCACCCCTGCACAGACAGTGCAAATATCTTTGGCTTAAGTGACTTAACTCTCTAACATGGCTGTGATGAACTGCTTTTCATGATTTTTTTTTTTCTGTCAAACCTAGCTAACTGAGAAATTAACACATCTTTGCTGAAGTTCTAAGTAATATACAGTACAACAAAAGGCAAAGTTGCTCCTGTTTGCAACACATTTGTTTTGCATCAAATTGGCCTGCTGCTGTTGTCTCAGCCAATGCAATTTTTCAAATCTGTAGAAAGTATGATTCTTCTTATACACGGATGGTTACTCATCACTTAAAAAAAAATCCACCAAAATTGCTAAATTGACTTATATAGCCTTATATTAAGCACTTTAATGAACCATGCAATAGGCTTAGAGACATATCCTGCTAATAACTATCAGCCTGGCAACTAGCTAAAAGAATGTCAAGTATTTATAAATCTCTAAATCCATGATGAAGCAATGAACTGATACATCCAGAAATGCATGCTATAAATACGACACATTATCTCCAACTTGTCAGTGGCCATGAGGCAGAGCAACGGAAGAAGCGATCCGTATAATAACAAACAAATCATAGAATCATTAAGGTTGGTCAAGTCCAACTACCAACCCATCTCTACCATGCCCAGTGACCTTTTCCTCAGTGCCACATCTCCACAGTTCTTGAACACCTCCTCAGGACTCCACCACTTCCCTGGGCAGCCTGTGCCAGTGCATCACCACTCTTTCTGAGAAGAAATTTTCCTAATATCCAACCTGAACCTCCTATGATGCAACTTGAGGTCATTTCCTCTGGTCTTATTGCTGTTACCTAGGAGAAGAACCTGGTCTTCACCTCGCCACAACTTCTTTTCAGGCAGTTGTAGAGAGCAATAAGGTCTTTCCTAAGCCTTCTCTTCTCCAGATAGAACAATCCCAATTCCCTCAACCAATCCCCATCAGACTTGTGCTCCAGACACTTCACCAGCTTGGGCACACGCCAAAGATTTCTGCAGTTAGATTTCTTGCTGGATTTGCTGTCCAATTATCCCTTGCCAAAATAAGCAATCAAACAAACAAAATCAAACCAGATAAAATGAAGATAAAGGACTGAGTTCTATAAAATACACGTTTGCAGTTTCATGGATTTCATGCTCAATTTAACTTAGCTAAAATGCTTCCGCTGTAACAGGAAAATGAATAAAAGTCTTATACCTAATTTTCCTCACACAGTATTGCCAGTTTCATCATTCAGAAATCTCTCTTCAGATTAATGGGGTTTAAAAACAAATACTGGCTAAAAATTTGAGGAAGGTCATTTACACTGTTCAGCAGTGTCTGGCATGAGCAAACTCAAGTCTGAAATACATTCATTGAGAATAAAGCAAGCTTAATCAACTCTACTCATTAGTAAGGATTTATCTGCTTAAATCAGATATTAAGATGCTGTTGCTTATAAGTACACCCCTAATCACAAGTTAATTTAAATTTCCCTAAAGGTAAAGCAATGACTTTACAACGGTTGATTAATGAAAGAGACCATGTTTTAATGTAGAAAATAATTGTCCTTAGAGCTAAAATAAGTAATTACAAGAGAAATCAACCATGTAGTTAGATCATTGAAATACACCTGCAATTATAATTATACAATAATGCTGCCTTCATTAATCAAATATGTTTTAATAACCTCACAAAATATTGGAATGGTTTTATACTGAAGGAGGGGAGATTTAGATTAGATGTCAGCTAGAAGTTTTTCATGGAAAGGGTAGTGAGATGCTGGCACAGGCTGCCCAGAGAGGTTGTGGATGCCCCATCCCTGGATGTATTCAAGGCCAGGTTGTATGGGGCCCTGGACAACCTGAGGTAGTACTAGTCAAGCAGCTGACAGCCATGCCTGCAGCAGGGGGAACAGAACTAAATGATCTTTGAGGTCTCTTCCAACCCAAATCATTCTATTATTCAATGATTTAATCACAAAATCATGGTGTAGTTATATGGCATGCTCCCGTTATCTCATTAGCAGCACTAATGAACCCAAAAATCCTGTACTGATAGTTATACTCAATGATTTTGAATGTATTTTCCAACTTGAAGAATTCTATGATTTTATACTGCTCATGATACTACTTCCACTAAGCCAAGACAGTTCATTCACAACTAGATGGTGCATCTCTACGCAGCATTGTAGTGCATCATGTAATCATATCCTTGGAGAAACAAAGGCAATCTATTTAAAAAAAGAAGAAAAAAAAAAAAAAGAAAAAAAGAGAAAAGACAGCACAGATCCACAGAATCCACAGATTCAGCAATACCAGTATATATCCTATGTGAACAATGTAACACTTGCATGACACAACAATGTCTGGACGATTAAATATTCTACTATTTACATCACATGCACATCAACACAAATCGATAGTTAAAGCCTTCCAAACACATAATTGAATGAAATGAGGTATCTGCATCCTCCCCACTTTGTGCTGGCTTCAGGAAGTAAGTCCTTACTGTCACACACTTCAGAACAGAAGAGATATAACCATGGCTCTGCGAGGTTCATAGCTTTTTTTACACAAAATCATTCTCCAGTGACTGGGAAACATAAACAGACCTAATTCTAGCTTTCTAGCACCATAAAAGCATGGACGTATCTCTACAGGTATGTATACTTGCCAGCACCATATAAACCTTCTTCACATGCTCCCAAGGTTTTTGTGTGATATAAAAACATTTTCCCCAAAGCAAATGTCTGAAAGTGTCTGGCTGCTGAAGGATTCCATTCTTCATATCATTTTGGAATGTACAGCTAAATTATACAGCATCTGATGACATATCACATACCTGGTTACAGTTTGTTAGTAATCTTCTCCAAGTATTTTGGAGATAAAACCAAAAATCCATCCTTAAAAACACTCTGCTCATTAGAACCATTCGCACTGAATACTATTTGCCTACTCAATCATGTCCAAAAAACAGGCTATCATGAAACAACAGTTTTAAAATCTGCCTATAATCTCTTTTGAAAACAGATTTACAACAGATCTTTATCATGAAGTTCTAATGTCATACATAGTAATATGGCAGTATATTCAAAGCCATTTGAAATAAATATCTGACTTAACGACACTGGGAAATGGATATGCTGCTGCTTCGTAGAAGGAGAAACAAACTTAAAGCCTCACAAAGTTATAATGATGGCTATATTTAGTGCTTGCTGATAGCATCCTAACTGCTGTTTTCCTTTATCTATACAACTGACACTTCACTGTTTTTGCCAGAATTTTTCTCCAGCAGTAAATCCTTTATGCTACATAGACTACAGCTATTTTTAGAGACAGTCAGTTTTAATGACTACAGATCTCTGTAGTTAGTCCACCTTCTTCTTGCATATCATCTCTCAATTAAAACAAGTGCATCCCTAAAGAACTCTGAATAGGTTGAATTAACAAACTATTTAAGTGAAGCAGAAGCAAGCCAATCCCCTATGAATACGGAGTCTGTAATTAGCCAAAATACTCAATGTTCGCGTGAAGACTGAGGCTCAATAAAAATTAAACACTCATGAAGACCAAGCACTCTTATGGGGCTTACATATATTAATACGTTATCACTCACCAGTTGCTTTATGTCTTTATGTTTTATTTTTCTTAAACTGGGACGCAGCTTGAAAATGGCTTGCTGCCAATTTGACAAAAATGGAAAGCTACTGGTGATAAGTATTGTTTCTTGTTGTCACATTCCTAGTGCCTCACCCTTGCTAAATAAGTACTTGAGTATGGCTCTTAAAAACCACACGCTCATAATCGTGACAAGCAGGAACGACTCAAGTTCTGAGCTGAGAATGACAATTCATAGATTGAGCATGGTCACATCTCAAGATCTCTGGAACATCCCAAGAAAATAAACCTTAGCACTGGTTTTCCCCAAACCTCCAAGGATGAGGCCATCAGCTTATTAAAAAAAACACCAGGATTTAATTCTTACCTTGATTAGGGGATGCAGTCAGTGGTCCATATTTCAAGTGTTATCATTTTTTAAGCAAAAATGCTCAATAATTTAAGTGGCTCCATTACTATCCTGGTGAATTTATAGAAACTTGAATATGGGGAGTAAAATGTTTAGGAACAATGATTATTTTGACTTTATTAGTACAGAGTCAGGAAAACAACAAATGTTTATGAAAGACCTCTTTCAAGCTACAGAGGAAAGGTGCAACATATGACCATATCAATCCTACAGTTTATCAACTCATTCAGTTTCCTGAGAAACTGAGGCATCAATATGTGCTTGATTGAGTTAAAGTAAATGCTGTATCAACTTTTTTATTAATCAATTCAAAAACTTAATTATTAAATATATAGCTAATAAAATGCTTAATCCATCAAACAGCAAGCCCTAATCAAAAACTGTATGATCACTACGATCAGATGATAGGACTATTAACATCTCAAGCTGCAACTGCAACATGATTCACCACCTTCCCAAAGCACATTCCAAAATGAATGGGCAAATGTTCTGAAACTTCAGTTCTTATCTAGAAATCCTCTACTTATGTTAACTTTATGTAATTTGTCTCTGTCTATTCTTACAAGGTCATCATGAATTCTACTTCGGCAGTAGAACTCAGCCTTTCAGTAGGGAGTGAGGATCATTAAAAAAAAGAAAATGAAGGCAGATTATCACTCAGTGGCTTTAATTCTCATCCAATTAATAAATCTTGGGCTAGTGTATGCTCACCTTTCGCAGGAGGAAGCAAATACGTTCAATATTCCTCAGCCGCTCTCTCTGTTAAGAAAAAGTAGGGAAAGAGGTAGAAGATTAGCTGGTGCTATAAATTAAAGATACTACCAGTATATAGTGAGTCAAAATCATAATTATTGGCTGTAAAGATGTTACATTATTCATCTGAACCAACTGTATTTGCTTCTGATGTACTGCCTACAAGTCAAACAATCTGCTCATTTCCAAGTCCCAATGTTATTTTTTTTCATCTGTTACTGAGCATAGCAATAAAAACAGGGGTTTCAAGTCTGTGTTAGCTGTGAGTCAGAAGCTCAAGTCAGCATTTGTGACTCTAACCATTGGTGCCAATGTACACCACAGAGACCTGGCCTTGCATTTTCAGGTACTCAATTTTGGCCTCAAGACATTTCTGAATGGGAAAAACAACTGCAAAGTTCACATGGTAGTTCTTCTGCTCTCACTAATAGAGTACCTGAGCAACATGATACTACAATGTAATTTCTGCAAAATCAGTATATCTTGCAATTCCCAGTGAGTTTACGGGGGCAAGTTCTGCTGTCAGCTATAGTGATACAAATCTGATGCATGTTTAATTGGAATTAGCAAAATAATTTTGGATTACAGCTTTCACAGGAAAAAAAAAAAAAAAAAAAAAAAAAAAGAGCTTTCTTCTGCTACAATCTGGGTTGCATTTTGGATCATTAGGTAAAACTGAGTTTACAGTCACATGGTGACATTTAAACTTTCACATAACAAATGTAACAGAATGTGTTATTTACTCTTCAAGCACAGGAGAACAGCCCTGCTCTGGGACAAACACATCTAGGAAATGCACTTCTTATCAAATCTCTTCAAAGATTTTGACTGATTTTTACAGACGGTTTTGGGAAAGGTCATCAAGCCATGCTGGAAAGCAGAGAAAGCAAATGTTTTTTAAAAGGAAAACTGGTGCCACAGAATCAAAAGAAAGTTCCAGCATCACATTAGGTGTCTTTTAGGTTTTAAACTTCCAAATTATTTTCCTACTTCTTTCAGCAAATAGCAAAGTTATCAGAATAAAGAACCACCATCTGGTTTCCCAGGTCTAGTCCAACACATCTATTCACCAAACTAGAACTGACTTCACAGCAGGCTCTGTGTTCCCCTCCACACTCATGCTTTGACGTATGGCTCAGTGTATCTCCTCCTGTTTAGTAGCTGTTGCTTAGCACACCACTGGTTGTACTCACTGCGTGGGCTGGGTTGCACTGATCTATTGGGCTTTTGAAGTCCGTCCGTAGCTCATCAAAGGCAATTATCTGAAAAACATTTTTTTTCCAACACTGCAATGACTGTTCAAACAAATACTTCTTTTTCTATTAGCAGCTAGTTAGAAGGATGGCCTCATTGACTCCCTTTCTTCTGCTTCCTGAGAAAATATGGGAACCTAGCTTCCTAATACACTCCTTTCAGATCTAATTCATTAAAATGAAATGTGGGGTACTCCCATAGACAAAATCTGGAATACATTAATCTTTCTGTCATACTGTAAAACCACATCTGCAGCTTTTCCAGCATGGTTTTCCATGTTTCTGCCCTTAGACTTCATTCTCAAACTTTCAAAAGATGTTAAACTACTTTCCAAACAAATGCATCTTTAGACCTGATGGAAAAAATCACTAACTGCCTAACACACAGAGTCGCATCAGATACAATGCACCAGGCTTAATGCATATACAACAGACTCCTCTTATCAGTTGTTGAACTTACTTCAGATATTAATTCTGAATTAGTGTTGTCTTTATTATTATGCTGCTATTCGTTATCAAGCACTCTAAAGAAAAGCATGCCCTACCTCAATTGCAGCAGGTTTTGGAACACTTACCTCAGACATCATTAATGGAGGGAAAGCTTTTGCACAGGTGCTTTAGTTTCATCCATCAGTTGATGGATCAGCTGGTAATTACTGCCTGCTTTTACAGCATAGCATAAAAGTACCCGTTAAATAATAATATGTGATAATGTTTTCTTGGAAATGAAACAGCTGTAATTGCCCTCAGCATGTTTCATTCAAAGATCTCAAAGAGTGTTCTTAACTTCATGGCTGTATTTTATTAATACCTCTGCTGGCTACAATCGAGGAGCAGAGGCTCCCTGTGACAGGCACCACATAAAACACACAATAAAACAGTGATTCCTTTTTAGACAATTTACAACTAGGAAAGTATTTGTATCCACTGAGAAGATGAGGTAGCAGCCAGGTAATTGGTATATGAGTGCAGCAGTCATTCTGTGTCATGTTCAAACCAAGTAACTGAGGAGGGATCAGAACAGACCTGCTGTACAGTTAACACACATTCATTTTACAGATATGACATGCAGCAACAAGAAGTCTAAAAATGAGCTGTCCATGACTACCATCATAATCTGCTGAGAGATCTGAGGGTAAAACCCAGTTACATACATTTAACCAGCACCCTAATGCTGCATTCATCATGCTGGAGCACATTTAAAATCAAAAGTGGGGCATTTTGTAGGAATTCTACAGAATTCAATTTATTCCACTGTGACAAGTCATATGCCAGAATAAACCAAAAGAACTATAAAACATTATTATAAGTGAAGGATTTCTCCCCATTAATGTAATATCTCTGTAAGTCAAAATTCAGATCAGCAACAAGCTGTTAGGTGAAAGTGCAATAACAGAGACTGTGAGAGGGTCATAATACAGCTGTGAGGAATAAGGGTCATTATAATTCTATACTTAATACTTCTTGAGCAGCTCTTCATTTACTCAAGCTGGGCAAACTGTTAGGAAGGTAATGACCGTGCAAGACACTTGCTTGTTTGTAATTGGGTATTGATGTGGGCACTGGCTGCATCCCGTAAAGGGAGAAGGTAAGGGGGTGCCTCTGTTCACAGCTCTGCCACAGATCTACTCTGGGATCTCCTGTGCATCTCCCCTGAATTGTCTTTGCCTCTCTGCACCAGTACTTACAGATGTCATTTTAAGACAGGAAAGCATTAGGAGATTTGAATGACAACTCTTTTTAATGTACCATGGAAACGGGTGTTGCAAATACAGAGATGAGCTCAAAATTTCCTTGAAACGAGGAAATAAACAAGCCCTGAGTGAATTTGCTGTGCTGTTCCTTTTGGTAGTCAGTAACAGCAAGGAGTTTGAGAAAATAATGAAATGGCAGTCAGCAAGAGCCAGTTCATGGCTCCCTGTTCACTGCAGGGAGATGGACTAGGTGGCCTATAGTGGTCCCTTCCAACTCAAGAGTTACTATGATTCTTCACTGGAAGGGACGACTGATCTGAGACAATAACATGGAGAACTGGAAACACTGCAATAATGAGGTGGACCCTATTCCACAAGGAGTCCAAAAAAGGCTTCAAAGCTTCACTGAATGTAGAGGTTTGATGATAACGCTGGAACACGTTTAGATGCAGAAGAAGTAGGTCATTTTGAAAGACAGAACCATTAAAGGCAGGGCTCTGTTGAGCAGGCCTTACCTAATGCAGAAATCTTGGAGAAATACTAAATGACAGTTTGTAAATGAAATTAACTTCAAATATGCTACATTTTTAGACTTCCTGCTCTCCCTCTCTCCTTTCTTCATTCTTTCTCCAGCAGCATCTTCAGCTCCACAGACAAACCCCTGCTCCTTATTTGCTGGCAAGCAATTCATTTTTCATTATGCCTCCATAATATCTAAAAGCACTGAAATGAATCAGAAACTATTAAGCATATGGCTTTCTCCAAATCAATAATTCCAAATACAACAGTCTATCAGGCAGACCACTTGGGATTACACCTGCAAATCATGACAATTTTAAGATACATTTCTATTACACCTGCCAGAAATAGAATTTGTATCAAGCACACAGAATTAGAGGAAATGCCTCTGGAAGGAGGCAGACAGAAATAACTCCCCCTAATTCTTAATGTTTTACTTTCATAATAGTTTATACTTTGTTAAATCCAGAGGAATGGAGATCCAGCGATTACAGGAAGATACCTTCTTTCATTCATGAAAATAGCATATTCCTATTTGTCGTTCACAGTGAAAAGCTATAAAGTGCAGTGTTAGGCAGGTTCACAACTAGAAGGGATGTAAAGAAGCTCACTTTTTTTTGTTTGTTTGGTCAGTTGGGTTTTTGGATTGCTCTCAAGTCATCCAATTTCTAAAGCCACAGACAGGAAATAATGGAAGCAAAACTGTTTTCTTAAGATTGGTGACTGCACACAATACAGTCTGTAACTGTAAAACAAACCATGTTGCATTAGAGGTGGGCTGTGCTGCTGAGTAGTTTGCATAATCAATTAGTAACATTTTGCTCTTCCAATTACAACTAACCTTGCGTAGAAGTTCAGTGCTCTAGGGTATTGTGCGGTTGGAGTTGCCATTTAACCCTACAGAAAAACAAATAATTAACTACTTGCCATTATTAAGTATTTCACGGGAGGTGTGGGGTTCTGGCCATACTCCAAAAAAACCAATCTGCTGCCCAATTATTCATACATTTCAGCTTGATGCAGTATAGCTACCTGCTTTCCATACAGAGCCCATCAGAGATGCTTACTGCTATAGAACAGCACTTGAGTGTGTTTGAGGTCCACTTCACTTCAGAAATTGCCACATTTGTCAGTACCATGACAGAGCAGATCATTTAAAGGCAAGCAATGGAATAGATCCCAGTCAGGCATTGCCATCATTTAACTTTCGTAAAATGAATGTATTTTAGAAACTGTTCTGCATCTTTTAGTCATCCAATCTGATTTGATCCAGTGTGGCAATTTAGACATACACACGTGGGCATCAGTGACCTCATCTCTGCAAAGGCTGGGCAACCAGCACACTGTTCCAAAGGAAAACAACCAACTTCCAGTCACAGTGTCTAACAGAGAGCCACATGGTTGGCATTTTGGAAGCATACACCAGGGACTGATCTTAAACAGAGGAGAAGATTACCTACTTCAGTAAATGTTACTGTTGAACATGGCTTGATAGAATAAGGATTGTTTCATTTTTTTCATGTTTAGCAAAGACTTTAATCATTACTGCAAAAGCGGCAATGGATGCTGACTCACCCTCTGACTTGGAAAATTTTCCCTGATTCCACACTGCAAAACACTGCAGGAAGTTTGCCCTACCACTGCCCTATCTGCACTTTTTTTTTTCTATTGATAGAAATATGCTTGTGGGTGTTACCAGTCTAATAAAACTAAAGGTTTATACAATTCACTATTGCATTCTCCCATGATTCACACCATCTGCAAATCTCAAAGATCCAAGTGTAAGTCAGAAAGGAGTTTGCCCAGTTTAAACGTGCTCTGAACAGATGAGATGGGGATGACATCGTAGGTTTCAATACACCTACAATTGCATTCAGATTTACAAAACGTGCATTAATTACCTGCACTCCCTGTGCTCATCTCTCTCGACAGCAACAGCTTTGAAGAACGAAATATTCAAATAGACAAAACCTGGATTTTGTCTTCTTACACTTATCCACACAAACTGAAAATTTCACCTATTAATGGCAGGAATTAATTATAACCTCTCAATTTTAGGGAAGGCTTTTTGTTTTTAAACCACTGAGCTCTCAAAGAAACACTTTTCAATGGAGAATGAGATGTTTTCAGGTGGTGGGTGGGGTTACTGTGCATTTGAATTCAGTGACAACAAAGAAGTTGGATATTACTGCTCATTGGTATTTGGTATCTTAGAAAAATTAAAATATATGTAAAACAGAACTTAGTGACAACCACACTAAGCACAGAACAGAACAGCAGCACTTAACATACGTTTCCTTGCCACTACCCTGCCAATCCTGTCCTGTAAAACTGTTGTTAATGGCTCATCTAAACATTCGTCTCCCCCTCTGCTCTCATGCACAGCTCCCACACAGGCAGCTCTTGGCTGTCTGCAAGTCAGCACATGGACAGAAGGTAAACAGGTTTAGGAGCACACTGTGCTTACGTTCATTTAATGCCTGCCCATCAGCTGCTGGATAGACATCTTTACCGTGTTTGGGAAATACTGTTGAACATTAATCATGTTTGAACTACGCTGGGTAGTTCAAGGGCAAGCTGGGTGAGTTACTTTGATGGATTTTGTTGACCAGAAGCCGTGAGTCAAAATGTGTGAGAGAGCGTCAGTCAGTGAAGAACACAGAAGGAGCTGAAAGGGAAGATACATCACTAGGTATGATGGAGCATGGGGAGCTTGCAGAGAGATAAAAAAACAGCACTGATGTGGACAAAGTGACAGACTGAGAGAACACTTCCTGCCACCCGATTGTTACTGTG